GTGTGTGTGTGTGTGTAGGGCAGAGAAAGAGAGACAGGATGAAGAAGAGAGATAGAAATATTGTAATTGAGACTTGATGCAGTGGAAAGTAGGCGAGCTGATTGGACGGTACTTATAAATATGGTAATGGGACCAAACTCTTAATCAACATCCAAGTTGAATAAACAGGCTTCATGAAACACACACACGCACGCACAAGTCTACAGGGATTAGAGCTAGCCACTAAAACATACATTCCACTCTTTGACCCCTACAACACCACTCCCTCGTTTCATTATCCACCCCCTTGTGCCTGATCTGCCCCTCCATCTCTCTCTCTCTACTGCCCTCAGCAGGTCTCTACTGCCCTCTGTCTCCTCACTTTCTGTTGTCTCGCTTCCTCTCCAAACATATTTCACCTGCTCCTGCAGCATGCCAGCTCTTCATTGGCAATAAAGCAGTCTGACATTCAATCCCCCGGATGTGCCAAAGGACAGGATGATCGTGAACACTTTCTAGCTAAGCTTCCAGCTAGGAAATACTGAAACAATTGGGATTATTTTGTGACGCAAAGTGATGTGGTGCATTATCATTCAATGTTATTCAATAATATTATATTTTGCATCATGCAATGATGATGTCTGTATCGGCCCTTCATATGGCACATATTGCGTTTTCTGACCGGATGGCCCCCCATCAACAGGACAACCTTAACCTTCAAATCACTGCTCAGTGTTAGAATGTGACAACGCCATGGTTAAGGATTGGGGAACTTCATCACGTCGTTGTCATGGTTACAATGATACAGCTGGGGAACGATTGTGGTCATGTGAAACATCCAACTGCGGTCTCCTGTGTTTCAGTTCAGTGTGTTATTGACTCATGCATCCACACCTGCCTCTTCCTGACGTGAACTTTGTCACTCCATAACAACATCACCTGACTTCCTCCTCTGCTGCAGTCATATCTCCACCACCAGTAGAGGGCTCTGTCACTTCAACATACACTTATGTTGTTTTGGGGCACAACTGATATTGTTGTTTTTCTTAGGAGGACAGTCTCAACAAAAAAACGTGTTTAAGAGCTAGGATGAACAATTTAAACACAATGAACCAATTTAACAACAAAACTGCACAACATATAAACATGTTCATGTTTGTGTCATAAAATGGGCTCAGCACCAATGCACCATGAACACCAATGATCAGGCATCACTATTAAGCTCACTGACATTGACAAACAAATATGCAATACGAAATCAAGACAAAATAAGTTCAGCTTTTGAAGAAACTGATTTGTTAGTCAGTTATGAGGGATTAGTTTTCATTTATTTACTAGATTTTAAATTAATTAATTATTACATATGGGGCTTAAATGCCTCTGGCACATTGATGCCATGACTCCAGATCTGTCTTCCTTTGTGTTGTGTAGCCTTATCACCATTTAAATTATTGTATTCCTCCCAACAGAGTTACAGAGGCTGTATATTATGTTCAGTATGCTCTCCACTAAAAATGAACTTCTCAGTCTTGAGAATAAGAGTACTCCCAGGCCTGTTATTGGCCACAGATGTTCAGTTTATCCAGTCTGTACAGTGCCATACTACTGTTACGTTCTAGCAAAGTTAAAAAGCATCATCTCATTATAAGTTTCAGTTAACCTCAACCTCAACACCCAACACGTCTCCCACTGGAGACTTGCCAAAGTTAAGGCCAAGAAATATAAATAATATTTCTGTCCTTTTCAGGAATGACAAATTCTGAGCTCCAGATATACAACATCCTCCTTGAAAACCTAGGATTAACGGTTACCTAGCAACAGCCATGGAGAGAGACTGGAGTTAAGGGCCATAAAATGTCTTATCTATACGTACAAAATTTGAAGCTCTACCTCGATCCATCCCATTACACGGCAAAACCAGCCCTCTTTAAGTCCGAGTACTGAGACCAAAGAACATCATGCCTTGTGAAAAATGAGGTTGAATCTCTCTTAATCATCATACAAAATCAAACTGAAAGGATACTATCACTATCATTAAGGGGTTGACATTATTTATCTTAATTTCTTTTACATCAGGCACCAAATTCTCACCAAAAGCAAAACTGTATTTGATCAGGATGCAAAGGAAACCTTTATAATGCAAGTGTGTGAGTTAATACAGATTGCACAAACAAACTTACAGCACTACTTGTTGTCATCTAGTGGTGGATGTTTAATATATTTACATTTAAAATAGTATAAAAGTTTAATTTCAACCAGTAGTTGATAAAAGAATCGTACTCACCAGCATAGTATGATATTCTGGAAATATCTGCAACAGAAAAAAAAAAGGGGGGGGGGGG